TTGAACCACCAGCCTTCTGGTTAGCAGTCAAATGCCTTAGGCACTACACTACTAGAGCTCCTCAAGGACAGAGAGAAAGGAAAATGAAATCCCATAACTTAGAAAAACTGTTAAATTCTCAGAACAGAGGTTAGGATTCCCAGCACCATGCCTGTACCAACCCTTTCAGAAAGTCAAATTTCTATCCTTATTGACTTCAAATTTGTGTCTTCTCAATCAACCAAGTATCCCAGAAGTTTTTAGTAAACATCTACTTCTAGCTGTGGCTAGTCTTCAGCAAAACTGTGATCTTCCTACTATAAACAAAACCCTATTGTGCGTGTTATGAAGGATCCAAAGAAGTATAGTTATTAAGAAGTATAGTTATTCATATTTTGTACCCTCAAAATACTAATCAGCAAAGCTCCTGGAGGGGGAAAAACTATACAGTTTTCCTCTCTACACTAATTAGTAAAGTGTCTGAAACAAAGCAAAAAAAGAAAACTAAACTCACTGCCATCGAGTCGAACCCGACTAATAGTGACCCCTCCTTGGGTTTCTCAGGCGGTATCACTATGAAAGTAGATTGCCCAACCTTCCTTCCAGAGAGTGGCTGGTGGGTTTGAACCACCAGCCTTCTGGTTAGCAGTCAAATGCCTTAGGCACAAGTGCTTTGTAAATATCGATTGGATTAAAAAAAACACTCACTGCCATCAAGTCAGTTCCAACTCACACCATCCCCTTTTTGGGTTTCTGAGGTGGTAAATCTTTATGGAAGTAGATTGCCCAGGCTTCCTTTTGTGGAGTGGCTGGTGAGTTTGAACTGCCAACCTTCTGGATAGCAGTCAAATGCCTTAGGCACTATGCCACCAGAGCTCCTTATCTATGGGATAAGGGAATGAATAAGAGATCTAGTTGGAAGGCCAATTCCCACATAAATGACAATTCAAAGCAGCTGTAAAGCAGGCATCATATGGAGGCATATGATTAAGTATCAAGCAACTGGGATAGGTCACAGGACAAGATCTAGTGGCTGAGGAAGATACTGTCCAAGCTGGGTATTGAAAGATACATGTGTTGTTGTTGCTGTTATGTGCCGTCGAGTCGGCCCCGACTCATAGCGACCCCTCCTTGGGTTTCCGAGGCAGTTATCACTACGGAAGTAGGATTGCCCAGCCTTCCTAGTGTTCTGCATTTTGCAGTATGGCAGCCACAGGCACAGGCACAGGCTCCTATTTAAATTGTTAAATTGAAATTTTAGCTCCTAATTCTGGGGGGTTATATTTCAAAGGGCTACCCTATTGGGCAGTGCAAAAAGGTCTATTATAGAGCACTGGTTTAGACAGAGGAGAATGAAAATGGACAGAGGCACTGAGACAAGGACATGCCCTTCTGTTAGACCAGCTCAGTCCCATAGAAGACTAGAATGAGAAAGCAGATTTGTAGAGAAAGGGATTTGTAGAGGTGTACAGACCTTGAGTGACTGCACAACCAGGCTAAATCAGAAAACATGACAATAGGAGTCATCACAGAAAGTGAAACTAGGACCACAAGTACAATTGAAGTGGAAGAAAGACTGGCTAAGTAGCAAAAAGTAAGAACAAGTTATTGAGAAACCAGTCTAGGTTCAGGCAGAGTGTCCCAACAGAGGAATAAATGGCATTTGGTGCCTCAATATGGATGGAAAAAGGAAGATGACTCCACTGAAGTGTCAAGCTTGACTAAAAAATCAATAGCACCTTAGCAGAAATAGGGGTGAGGAATGGAATTGGTTGTAGGAAAATTCATTTCATATCAAATTATGTCATGTCCTGCCCTCAGAAGGCTGTGACCATCCAGGATTGAAGAGCAAGTGTAAGGAGATTTCCCCGAACTCCTCAAGCTTAAGCCAAAATGATTTCCTCACATGGGGCTTAAGAAGCACCAGAGCACAAAAGATCATGGGAAACATGGCTAGCTTTAGAGGAAATGACATAAACATGGCATCTGTAGGATTCTAGCTCAAGGAGCTCTAGTGGCATAGTGAATAAGGCAGTAGTTGACTGCTAATGGGAAGGTCAGTGGTTCAAACCCACCAGCCATTGCATGGCAGGAAGACGGGGTGACCTATTTCCATAAAGATTTACAGCCTCAGAAACCAATGGGGGTCGCTATGAGTCAGAAACAACTCGATGGCAGTGAGTTTGGTTTTTGGAGGATTCTAGCTCAGTGGTTAAGTACAGACATTCTGAAGCTGGACTTCCTAGGGTGGAATCCATTCATGGCTCTATTTTCCTAACAGTGTGACCTTGAGTGACATTCTTACTCTCCCTGTGCCTCAATTTCTTTATCTGTAAAATGGAGGTTATGTAAGGAGGTTGCCATTGCAGTATTAATCAATTACATATTAATTAACATATCTAAAGTGCCTAGCATACAGTAAGCACTATATCAGTGTTGTATATTTATCATATCCTCTAGTTTTGGGAAGTACATTCGCATCTGCGAACTGGACTTATGTTTCTGAGGCCCAGCTTCTCTGCTGATCAACCCTACTGTTTTCCAACACATACACACAAAAAACCCTCACAATTTTTCACCCTCAGAAAGGACTGATAAAGTATTTTAAACAAAGCAGAGTTCTGCTTTACATGATTAATTTCTCCTTCAGTCTCCTGGCTGATAAAAGCATTAAAAAGAAATATTATTCTGACCTTTATACTTTTTTTAACCTTCCATTACATTCGGCAAAAGGCTAAGGAATCAGAATGAAAGATCTTTATTTCTGATTAATTTTATAGCTACACATTGGAATGATGTTCAAATTAGATCTTTCTAGTTACTCTCTCCCATTTCCTACCTATTATTATTCCTAGTTGTTTGCAGGTGAAATTGAATTCTTCGCATAAAATCTGTTTTCTTAAACTTATGCTTAAGGACAGAACTTCCATTTCATGTTAGGAAATTGCCCATTAGTCCTGTCCTTGTTTTTACAGCTCTTGTTCAAAAGTTAATCCCAGAGTACACATAATTCCAATTAACCTAATTGTAAATGATCATTGACTCTCTGATATCGTAAAATTTCACAGAAGCTAGCAGAGCAGGGCAGAGCCTGATGGGGCTACAGGGTTTCTGAAGATAACAAGGCAAGAAACAATAATTCCCAGAAAAACCTCTTCCAACTAAGTCATTCAAAACTATAAACACTTATATAATTGCTAAATTATTGATAATGTTTTTTCCTCCTTCTTCTTAGGTGACCTTGAGCAGAAATTTGAACTGGAAATCAGTCCTCTTTGTAATCACCAGAAAGACTCAATCCCTAGTATACAAATTGGTAAGCTGAATTCAATTTTAACCAGACAGTTTTGGCTTCTCTGCTAGGAGTCACTAAGAAAAGTTCTACATATCAGTTTTGAAAGATCCAAACTGGAAGTTTCATTAATCAATGTTCCTTTGCATGGCTAAATCCAAATAAGTACTCTAATCATGACGAATCTACTAGGTAATTATCAGTTAAAAATTAGGAAAATTAGAGTAATGGCTTTATTATAGAACCTTAGCCAACTTGTATGAATTTTGTATCTTAGAATTGAATCAAAACCAAATAGAGTAGGAAAAGAGTGATAAGAACGAACTATTTGCTGCTTAAAAGCATGGTGGCTCATACCCTCATCAGGGCTTAGAAGGTGGGAAGTCAGCAGAATCTACCTTTAGGGACCTTCCAGTCTGACTTACTATCCCCCTCTCTCTCCCAACACTCACTTCCAAGGGCCTTCAAGCCATACTATCCCACTGTGACCTGGGGTCCCTTGCTGGCATTTCAAAGCTAATTTTCAGTCTCATTCCCTTAGAACTGTATCATTCAAGTGTGAATTGATGTGTGATGTTGATGCATCCAAAATAATTATTACTTTTTCTAATTAAGTTATGCATAAGATCATTAAGCAAATCAAACTGTGGACACTTTAGGCCTTTTGTGGAGGAAATTTTTCTGATAAGAATTTCAGTCAGTCCTTAAAACACTCCACCAATTTCCATCCACACTAAAGGCAACTCTTTCTGTTCCTTGTGGTTGTCTTCAATTGAACCAGCTCAGAATATTAAACTCACTCTTCTTATTATTAGGTATGGCACTGACATGTATTAGTTCATGGTTTTTGTTCTGTTCCCACAGACCTGACTGTTTAAGGCATTCACAGTGCTGCACACCTCTGCAAAGCCCAAGGTCTAACACATTCACATTGGGAAGGAAAGAGACATCCTAAAAGATAAATGAAAAATAAGGAAACCAGGGCAGTTAGAATGATATGCTTGTAATCACTGAAAGTCAAATCAAATCCACATTCCCACAAAGATTCATGAAGTTATCCTAATAGGGACAAAATTAATCTAGTTACAAAGATTTGAATGGAATACAGAAATATGAAGTAGGAATTACTGATGAGATGCACAGTAATCCATTTTCTTCTAACGCGAAAAAAGGCAACACACTGCCATGGAGTCAGACCCAACTCAGCGACCCCTCCTTGGGTTTCCAAGGTGGTATCTCTATGGAAGTAGATTGCTCAACCTTCCTTCCTAGGAGTGGCTGGTGGATTTGAACTGCCAGTCTTCTGGTTAGCAGTCAAATGCCTTAGGCACTATGCTACCAGAACTCCCTACGCCACCCTTAATATTGTTATGCTGTTTTATAATTAAACTGATTTAACCAAACAAATTAATTTAATTCAATTAAAAAAAAATAAAGCAAATGGGGGAAGATTAAAAAGAAAAATAGGACCAGGTCAAATTCTCATGGACTCCAGACTTTCTGGAGGCATGGAGGCTAGATGAACCCCTGAAACTACTGCCATGAAATCATCTTTAAACCTTAAACCAAAAATGTCCCCTAAAGTCTTTTGGAAACCAAATACTAGTTCAGCTTAACAGGTAAAGAATGTCTGCCTTGAGCATTGTGCCCTTTTGGGATCGATATGGGATCAAATTAATAACAATAACAGCAATTTGAAAGACTGGATAAGAAGCTCAAGGGGCAGTGAGTTTATGATAATGGGGGAGAACAACTCAGAAAAGATGGGTAAGAGTGGTTGCACAACTCAAAGGACGGAATCAGTCCCACTGAGCTGTAAGTGCAGAAAAGGCTAAACTGGTGTTTGTCTGGCTCTGTCCATGTTCAACAACAACAAGCAAAATCAATTTAAAATGGGGGGGGGGGTACTCAGAGCACATGACGCTAGGGAATGGCTGGTGAGGGGCGGAGGGAGCAAGAGCAACAGAGATGCAGCCTCAGCTCCTGGGATGGGCAGAGGTTCTGCAGCTGGGATCAGGAAGGAATCGACCTTGACCAGCCACTCCGTGGAAGGCAGAGGGGGCAATCTACTGCCGTAAAGATTTACCACCTCGGAAACCCAATGGGGATCACTGTGAGTCGGAATCCCCTCAATGGCAATGGGTTTGGTTTTTGGTTTTGGTAGAGTCCTATTCACTTTGTTGAGTTCTGAGACTACAAAGAAATTTTCCAGGCAACTGTTTAAAGACCTTTTGAATCACAAAAGAAAGCACTCCCTGTATTAAGCACATAACCTGAATTTGCAAGACCTGATTTCAGAGATGTTGCCCCTTTGTTGTCATGAGAACACACTTATTTTGTCAGATCGCATGTCCTGGTTTTCAGCTCAGGAAAACGTGGTTACCATAGATACCTGCTTTAAAAATGAGATGGGGGTTGAGTGAATAGAGAAATCCCTTGGACGTATATCAGCACAGCAACAACGGAGACAGAGAGAGGTGATTGTAAAGCAGCTCCTAATGTACACGTCTCTCTGTCTCTGTTCCACCTCTCTCAGCTCTATGCCACCAGAGCTCCTCCTTAGTTCTACAGGTTCAGGGTTGGGCAGTGTGGTGTGCAAGGGGAGATCAGACTAAGCTAGAAAAATCCAAACAGATCAATCAGGTTTAATGGGTGCTGCAGGCTCTAGTCCCCCAGGCACAATTTTTCCAATGGGTCCTAAGTAATACAACTATTTCTTCTGTTCTGACTCTTCTCTGCATGAAAATGTCTCCTTTCTTTTTTCTCATTATCCAAAATGAAAATGTCCAGAGTGCTGGTATCAAACTTAGATCAGATTTTCTGCTTAAGTCATTCATATTTAACCAAATGGAACCAGGACTTAATGTCCCTTTTCCCCACTCCTTTCCTCTCTCCATCTAATTCTCCATTTAAAAAATGAGGTATTAAATTACATGAACTTCTAATTGATGAACTCTATAAAGATAAAGTGACTCGACGGCACATAACAACAACAACAACAACAACATAAAGATAAAGAAGCTCTGGTGGCACAGTGGGTAAGACATTTGGCTACTAACCAGAAAGTCAGCGGTTCAAACCCACCAGCTGCTAAAATGAGGTAATCTACTTCCATAAGGAGGAGCTCTGGTAGCACAGTGGCTAAAGCACTTGACTGCTAACCAGAAGGTTGGCGGTTCAAACCCACCAGCCACTCCTCGGAAGGAAGGTTGGGCAATCCTACTTCCGGAGTGATACTGCCTGGGAAACCCAAGGAGGGGTCGCTATGAGTCAGGGCCGACTCAACAGCACATAACAACAACAACAGCAACAACTTCCATAAGGATTTACAGCCTTAGAAACACAATGGAGGTCGCCATGAGTTGGAATCCACTAGATGGAAAAGGGTTTGTGTTTTTTTGGTTACAGAAAGATGAGAGGAAAGAAGATTTCCTTCAATCCCCATCTACCCTGAGGCCACCATTCCTCCTCTCCTCCACTCCCAACCCTTAACTGGATGTTGGCACAACAAACTGAGAATAGGTCCCAAATCTAATCTTGCAGAAAAACCAAACTCACTGCCATTGAGTCAGATCCGACTCATAGTGACCCCTCCTTGGGTTTTCCAGGCAGTATCTCTATGGAAGTAGATTGCCCAACCTTTCTTCCAAGGAGTGGCTGGTGGGTTTGAACCACCAGCCTTCTGGTTAGCAGTCAAAAGCCTTCCTTTATTTGAAAACTTGCCTCATGGTTTCTATTCAGACTTTGAAATGGCTTTCCAAGTAAGATATCTTTATAAACCTGACTAGTACAAATACAGTTGCTGTCAATTCAATCACAGTGACCCCACATGTCACACTACAACTCATTCCACAGGGTTTCAATAGCTGGTTTTTCAGAAGTAGATCACCAAGTCTTTTTCTGGAGATGCCTCTGGATGGACCCAAACCACCAACCTTTTGGTTAGCTGCCAAGTGAGTTCACCATTTGCACTGTCTAGGGACTCAGACAAATGTAAATATAGATTTGACTGCTAACCAGAAGGCTGGAGGTTCAAACCCACCAGCCACTCCTCAGAAGGAAGATGGGCAATCTACTTCTGTAGTGACACTGCCTCGGAAACCTAAGGAGGGGTCACTATGAGTCGGACCTGACTCAAAGGGAGTAAGTGAGTGTATGTATATCCAGGTAGGGAGCTCTGGTGATATAGTGGAAAAAGCATTTAACTGCTAACTGGAAGGTCAGTGGTTCAAACCCACCAGCTGCTCCACAGAAGGAAGATAGTGTGATCTACTTCCATAAAGATTTACAGCCTCAGAAACCCATTGGGGGTCACTATGAGTCAGAAATGACTCGATGGGAGTTAAGTTCGGTTTTTTGGTTTTGTATCTCCAGGTAAATTCAGGAATAGAATGAGAGGATGCTTTTAGATGTTGGACTTTAAAATATCATTTGTAACATTTTTATACTTAAGGTAAACTTGTTAAGTATTCACATTTCAAACTTTGATTTTTAAAAAGTTTTAATTTTTCAGTATTTTTATTCAAAGATAAAACATATTAGAAATTAGATAAAGAAATTTTGAAGGAGGTGAAGAAAATTCAAAAAGACAAAAAAAGTGAAATTCTTCTTTGCTGACTTCTTACATAACCTTATCAAAATGCTAAATACAAAGTCGTTGGCTTAATTCTCCTCCTCGGGTTTAGTTTATCTAGAATGATCTCCCAATTTTAAGTCCTAATTCATGTAAGATGAGATACAGAAATGTACAATAATCTTTTGCATGCTGCATCCTTCTCCCATTTCTATATTGTCCTCAAAGGTCAAGTGTCTGTTGTTTGTCCGATCAAATCGGACCAAATTGGTTTGATCAGACCAAATTTTATAATCTGTACTCTCATAAACATATGGGGTTAGTTTTTGGCAGATACTGTTATGCTGAAAACAACTGCCTATTCTCCCACACCTACATTTCAAAGAAAGGCAATAGAATCTATATACGGCCAAGTTCATGATGATTCCAATAATTCAAGACTATACTGAATATTATCTTTGCTTAACACGGTATGTTTAATATGGAAAGCACATTAATAGCAAAACATGATTAGAAGACAACAAGTCTAAAATAAGAGACATGCATACAAAGATGTCTAATATTAAACAATCTTTGCTAATCATTAAAGCAGAGTTTTTCAAAAACCGAAACCAAATTCACTACCATCAAGTTGATTGCAACTCATAGTGACTCTATAAAACAGAATAGAGCTGCCCCATAGGATTTCCAAGGCTGTAAATCTTTGCAGAAGTAGACTGCCACATCTTTCTCTCACCAAGTGGCTGGTGGGTTCTAACCAATGACTATTTGGTTAGCAGCCAAGCTTTAACCCACCACACGGGTTCCTTCAAAGCAGGATTTTATGCAGGTAAATATCTGTGTTGAAAATGAATGTTATTTACCTCAACTTACTTGTTCTACATAATTGAAAGTAAAGGAAAGCTATTATCCTGAAAGAATAATAGCAATAATGTAGTCATTGGTCTTCCTGAAGTCATTTGTCCTCTGCTCCCTCCCTCCTCCTTAGGGCCAATTCAGGCTTTTATGTATTTTTATTTTTTTTTGTTTATGTCCTTCCCCTCTGCAAATAAAAAAAAAACAAAACCAGACTCACTGCCATCCAGTGGATTCCAACTCATGACCCCCATTGGGTTTCTGAGGCAGTAAATCTTTATGGAAATAGATTGCCCCATCTTCCTTCTGCAGAGCAGCTGGTGGGTTTGAACCATCAACCTACTGGTTAGCAGTCAAATGCCTTAGGCATGCACCACCAGAGCATATCATAATAGCCAGTATTTATTGTTTACTACCCGCCAACAGCTTTCTAAGCATTTGACTTGTGTTACATCATTTAGTTGCCCTAACAACAATATGGGTTTGGCTGTTGCAGATGTTAGGTGCGGACAAATCTATCTTCACTCATAGAGAGAGACTTTATGTGACAGAGAACTGTCCCATAAGGTTCCAAAGCCATAATACTCACCAAGGGAGCTCTGGTAGCACAATGGTTAAGCATTCACCTGCCAACCCAAAGTCAGCAGTTCACCAGGCATTCTTGGGAGAAAGATGTGGTAGGCTGCTTCCACAAAGAGTTCAGCTTAGGAAATTTCTTGGGGCAGTTCTACTCTGTGCTACAGGGTCACTGTGATTCTGAATCAACTCCACTGTTTATCAGGAGCAGACAAAAAAAAAAAAACCTCACTGCCATCAAGTCGAATCCACTCATAGTGACCCCTCCTTGGGTTTCCAAGGCAGTATCTCTACAGAAATAGATTGCCCAGTCTTCCTTCCCGGGAGTGGCTGGTGGGTTTGAACCGCCAGCCTTCTGGTTAGTAGTCAAATGCCTTAGGCACTACACCACCAGAGCTCTCCCAGGGGGAGACAGCCAGGTCTTTCTTCTAGGAGCAGCTGTTGAGTGGGTTTGAACCAACCTTTAAGTTAGTAGCTGAGACCTTAACCATTGTCCACTGTGGCTCCTAGGGGATTTGTACTCTTATTTTGTTGTTGTTGTTGTTGTTGTTGAACAAATGAGGAAACATATAGGTGAAATGACAAGCCCGCAGTGACACATCTTATGCTCCTAGACTATGGATAGTGACGGCATCTTGTGTACCTTCACACTCCCAGGGTGAGCAGGCGGTAGGGCCCCAATAGTATTTAAGAAAAGCAGTTTTTCTTGTCCTTACGGTGATGAGTTTTGCCTCGTCTCTTCTCCCAGGTTTCATGACTTACATCGTAGAGCCACTCTTCCGGGAATGGACCCGTTTCACAGGAAACAGCCCCCTGTCTGAGAACATGCTAAGCCATCTCACACACAACAAAGCCCAGTGGAAGAGCCTGTTGCACAAACAACCCAGGAGCAGCAGCGGTGGCGGCCCGGAGCACGCAGGCCCAGGGACCGAGAAGGAGGCGCAGACTGGACCCGCCGCCGATGCCCAGTAGGCCCCGCCCCCTGCTCTGAGCCCAGAGAACCACAAGCTCCCTGAACCGAGGCATCCGGGAAAGTGTAGAAGCCCTGAGGGGTTCTCGCCAATGAACCCAGCCTCTATGGGTTTTGTTCTTGGCCTCTTCTGAATGCCATCCTATTTTTCAAGCCTCCACTCCTATTTCCACCTGTATAGAAGCCATTGTCACTTCAGCATTAGCTGCCGACAAGAGCAACTCGGTTCAGGAACATGGGAGCTGATTCCAGGGGTAGGCTGCCAGCCCAAGGAGAAGACTGGGGCGTAGGAACGAGGTGCTTCTGCCGTGTCCCCCACGGGCCCTGGGTCACACTGTGACGGGCAACAGTTCATACAGAGTCCCAAGCATTTTCCCGTGTGTCATCTGACTGCTGAGCTGCATGACAAAAACACCAGCATATTGGGAACTCCGAGGATATTGGTCTTAAGTGCGAGAGCACAGATGAGAGCGTGAGAGAAAGTACCTTATATTTTAATAATAATTATTATTATAAAAATAATAATAAATCTTTTTAACTTTTATATTTTATGCACTAGAGAATGGATCTAAAACTCTGGACTAAGATTACTCAATGTACCCAAACGGAACAAGGGGATCATTGTTTTGTTATTGACTTTATGCCACCTTGGGTCAGAGACTTGGCATCGTCTCAATTTCAGAATCCATGTTTCCTTTCTGCTCAAGGGGAAGGTGCTGTGGGGTTCGTTCCTTTGCACCATAGCCCATGTGTCTTTTATCGCTAACTCAGATTCAGTGGCATGTTTATATATTCACATGTGTACATTTTCTGTAAATACCAAGCGCTACTGATTCCCATGCCAAAATACATGAGTATTATGGGACTGCTACCTGTATAAACAATGGCACTGTGAACAAAATACTGTTAGTTTTAATACAAGAGAATGCATTTGTAAATATGGTATATAGAGTTTATTAATATACTATTGTTTGCAGATAAAGGCCTTAACTTTTAACATCTTTCATCTTCTGAAAGCTGCCCAACGTAAATCCTCACAGATGTCTTTCTGAACTGCCTTCCCATGTCAGTCTTTATGCTTCCCAGCTAAGGTCACAAACCAAAACTAAATAAAGTCTTTGAGGAAATATTTTGGAAACTTCACATGCATTCCGCTTGAGGCCATAGTGTTTAATCTATGGCACCAAGCATCGTTTCCTCAGATTACTGAGACCTTCAGCAAGCCTGAAGTCACTTTTCAACACAGCAATGTTGCACACTCTGTTTTAACAAAACAGCTGATAAGCTTGTGTTTATGGGACTCTTGTCATAAACATGGCTGCGTGTCAGCCTCACAGGAAACATAGCAGGTCTCGCAAACCTTCTATGACCCTGTCATACAAGCATCAGGGAATTCCCTGCTCCCATACCACACATCTGTCTGTTATGGCTACAGTACCAAAGTATCTTTGGTTTATGATTGGCGTTCATTTCTTTGGTGTTAATAGTAACTGGATTTTTCTTTTTTCTTAATTTCATGTGAACAGTTACCCAACTGTTTAGCTAAAGTTAACATTATTTAAGTAAAGAAAATATTTTGGGTTTCTGAAAGACTTTACCTTCCTGGCAGATCGTTGTGGTTAATTATGGTTCTAGCTAGCATGGTCACCTTGGAATTTTGTTGCCACTTTTTCTGCAGATACTTGACCATAAAATCAGTTTATTACAGCACTCTTCTCTAGTCTCCTACACTCTGTACATTGAATTCTTTCTTGAGAAGTTCTTAATATAACTAACGTTGTATGAAAATTAGTGATGCCCCTTTCACTTTCCCTCAAAGAATGTGGAAGTGGAAGGATAATTTCTGCCACTATCAAGCTATTTCTCCAGCAAGATAGAATGACAGCTAAATCTCATTCCCTAAGTGCAATTGCTTTGTTTTCTGTTCCCCGCCACCCTCCTCACGTACAAATGAAATGTTAGAAACTTGACTGGATTATAATAAGTTCCTGTAGAGAGATGGAGGCTAGCAGAGTTAAGGATTAGGGGAAATTTTGGAGAATTGGTTATATTTTCATTAAAGTGAGAGAGATTGTCAGATGATGCTAAAGAAAGTTGTGAGAAGCTTATGAAATGAGTGGATGATGAGTTGAAATGATTGATATGGGTAAGGAGAGAAATGAAAACACTGACTTTGCTTTTCCTTTCGTAACCATGAACTGAACCATGTTTTTATATCACTTTAATTCTCTGAAGCCCTCAGTCTGGTAAGGCCCCCAAAGAGAAGAGGTTGCATGTGTTCCTGCTTCCAGTGCTCTCTTTCTGTGCTTCGGTGATGCAGGGTGGGCTTTCAAGTCATCTGTTTTTAATGGTCATCTGTTTTTAATGGCCATGATCAAATCAAAGAAAGCAAACACTGGTGTATGATAAAGTATAGGAACAAAGATATTATTTTAGCCAATGGAGTCTCTACCTTGAGTTTAGGAAATAGGCCTTCTTATAATTAGGTTGTAATTTAAATAAATAATATTGGAGGTGTTATTAGTAGTTCCAAGTTTACAGGGCAAAAGTATTTATGTTTCAATTAGGTCTCGAGGACAGGTTCACAGAGAAAACAATCAAATATCCTATGGTTAAGCCTATGAAGTAGCTACTAATAGTACAGTAAAAATCTGAAGAAAAAGGAGACACAATGCATGAATTAATGTACCTGTCTCATGCATTCAGTTGTCTGGAGGCTTCTTGAGTTCTTCATTCTTTGACAAAAGAAGAAAACGATTGTGAAAACTTTTTTTTGCCTATTAGTAGCTCTCTTGCAATATTAGGCAGAGGGAGTCCATTGCTAGTTAAAATACATTATTGGATTATCTACGGATTTTATCTTTACAATTTTTCTTCTCCTAGTCCATGGACTATTAATAGTTGACTTAACAAGTTTAACTCTTTTATTGCTAGAGAAGAAAGGAATCAAAGGGCTATTTTTTGTAGGTGAAAGTTCAAGTTCAGTGAGAAGAGAATATATTATCACTGCCAGGCCTGGTAGATGGCTTTTCCTTTTAACAGCAACAGTGAATACTCAGAACCTTATTCTTGAAACCTTGACCTATCCCTTACTCTCAGCTAGGCTTAGCAAAAATCAGACTGTTTCTACCTGCTTAAGGCTTCCCACAAAGGCACTGGGAGAGCATCCTGCAACCTTATCTTCACATAGTGCTTCCTGCAAAACACAGCCTTGTTTTCAGTAACCTCTTCTCCTGTTGAATCAGATCTGCTCTCTGATTTGCATTTGGTTATGAGCTTGTATCACTGTATTTCTCATGCTTTGTTCTTTTAAGCAAACTCTCAAAATTGTGTTGTTTTCTGTACACATGTGAGGTTTGAAAAAACCACCTTGTGAGTTTTGCTCAAAATGTGGCCTAAATATTCATTGGCATGTCTAGCTGAACAATTAAAAATAAAGATAATTTCTTAAAAATCTCACAATATGAAAATACACTGATTCTCACCATGTGACATGTTATCACCTGATCGGTTTCGATTAAAAAGACCCACAGCTCAGGAGAGGAAACTTTCAGAGAAAGAGCACATAGGCAATGTGGTGCAGGGGACACATTCCCTGTGCTGCGAAAGCGTCCATATAGCCCTTCATCATGAAGACATCACATGCCAGTGAGTCCCAGGTTATAGAAATAGGGCCACCCTTAGGCTTCACATTTCCCCTAAGTGCTGATAGTCTTCTGACTCACATTGGTCAAAATCATGGATGAATGAGAATGAAGTATGAGGTTTCAGGCTGTGAAAACATAGCAAATTTGTTCCGAGAATTATATGTGAAAAATATGGTCTTGCATTTCAAGATTGTTCTTGTCCCAAGAACAATGGGACAGTACAATCATGACAACTGAGTGTCCTAAATCCTTCTGGAAATAGAGGAGAAAAAGAGTACAACCATGTTTCCCAGAAGCACTTGTATCTTTATATATGTCCTCCTCATTTTCATTTTACTGAGATTTCTATTCAGAATCCTATTGATTGCTTAGTGTCTCCTCATGTCTGAATGTAAAGCCACTTTTCCTTTTGTGGCCATTCTATATCTTAAAATAAAAATACACAATGAGATCCAGTGGTATTCCAAAGGACAATCACGCCTTCCAAATGCACAATGACAACATTTCTGAAACATCACCAATAGGCCAAATCTATGTGAGCAGTGTAATTTCACATCAACAAATATTTATTGAGAATCGACTCTGTGCTAGATGTTATGTTAGATATGTGCAACGTGAAAAGAACCGGTCCTTCCAGGAGCATTTAGACATGGGTCAGAGACTGGCATTACCAGTGAACCCTTCTCAGAGTGTTAATGAGAACACCTGTAATTGCTCAACAGCAGCTGAAGCTTCCACCTTGAGTGCAACACAATAAACCACCTAAACCCATTGCCATCAAGTCAACTCCAACTCATGGTGACCCTATGAGAGGCAGAGTGGAACTGTGTCCCAGAGGGTTTTCAGTGGCTGATTTTTCAGAAGTAGATCACCTGGGCTTTCTTTTGAGGTGCTACTGAGTAGACTTTAATGTGCAACCTTTCACAGCCAAGCACATTAACTGTTTGCACTACCAGAGACTCCTACAATATAACAAAAAGCAAATAAGCTTTAGAGACAGAACAGGGTCCCAAACCTGGTTCTGCCACTTACTTATTCTGTGACTTGAGGGAAGTTACCAAACCCTGTAAAATTATTTCCAGACATTAGTAACTTATATAGGATTATTGTGGCAATTAAAAGAGATGGCATACACAAAGCCCAAGCACTGAGTCTGGTACCTGGCAGGCATTCAGTAGATGGAAGTTCTCTTCTCCTAAATCACACAGTAACTTACCACATAACTATTCACACATCGGTAAGATTGGGAGACCATAAGGGGAAAGAAAAGTGGTCAGCTGCTAACCAAAAGTTTAGTAGTTCAAATCCACCAGCTGCCCCACAGGATAAAGATGTGGCATTCTGCTTCCGTCAAG